CAGCGCTGTTTTAGGCGAGTGCATATTTTATCAGCAGAGTATACCCTAAGTTTGATGGACAATGGTCCTGGACGGTTAATTTCAAAAGATGAAATAAATAATTTCCAGCCTCAGGTGTGAGCGCTTCTCCGCTATTCCATAACGTGAGGTGCAGTTTTGTAACTCATTGGAACATGCAGCTCCTCAGTGTTTTTTTAGTGGAAAATCGCCCCGATGTACAGACAGCCAACAGCTATCGAATCCGGTTTTTATCAGGTGCCGGAAGCACCACAACCTGTGCACTTACCACCAGCAGCAATTCCCATCGTACCCCCGCAAGGAACCGTATTCTTCGCGCCACCGTGTTATTTTCCAAGTGGTATGCCGCAGACAGTTTTCATTGCGCAGCCGCCAAATATGTCGTTGGAAAGTAATCTAATGGAGGGCCCGTCTAATGACTACTGCCCATTGCAAGGTTGGTGACGCGTACATTATGAAGCCACTAGAGCCGAGAGGTGTAAACGGCCGATTTTAATCTCAGCGGGATTCAAACGGCTCACAGTTGGGAAGAGCCAGATTTAGAGATGAAATTGCACTTGGCTCGATACTGGATCGAACAAAGGAAAGGTAGCGATTTGGTGGACAAGGTCGGCCTTAACTCTCTTTTGCAAATGGACGCTAAGCGCAGAATCTGAGTTTGATTTTCAGATGAACCTGCACCGGATACGCTGGCAGCAGATTCGATGTGTTACTCGCCAACTCCTTTGCCGGTCTCGTTGCCTCCGTTTCAGCCTGTACCGGTGCTGAACCCATACGTGCGTGCAAACCCCGTCTTTATTGTCCAGCAGCCGTTTGTTGCTCCTCCGACTGCACTGAATCCATGTATGCCGGCACCGGCGCAACCACAGCCACTGTGCCCCAAACTGAACGTCTTACCACCTCCTTCCAAGCAGTACCAACCGTGGTCCACAGCAACTGCTACCGCTTCAAATATGCTAAGAAGCTTACCAGCGGAGGAGAACAACTCTGTAACAAATAACAGCATCGCCTTCTCACAAACAAACCTTACTTCGGGATATGTGGGTGCCGCAGAAGCTGGTAAGATGATTCTTTTGCGTTTCAAAGACTGGAACATCTCCTTGTTCAGCCCGAAAAAAATATTGTTTTTTCTGAACATTGGCCAATTGCCGAGAAGGGGACGGTGAACCATTTCAAATTCAGGGAAATGAGTTTCCTGTTTGAACTTTGTGCTCAACTGAATTTATCTTGGGCAGCGAGTATCAGATGGTACGAGCGATCCCTGTGAGCCATACAGAAACGATGATATGAGGGGATGTTTGCTGCTGTTGAACACTGCTCTGAGACTGATCTTGTTCATGGCTTGTATGTATTGCAGGTCCACAGGTATCATACCGATTCCCAGCGCATAACTGTTTCAGAAGCGTTCAAAAAGATAATCCGGTAAGTCCCCACTTTGCTTCATCTTGCCTCAGTCTGTTTGCTGAAGTAGCCAAGGTGTAAGGCACAGAGTGCTGCATTTCTGAATAATTTAGGAAGTAGAGCTTCATGCATAATCCAGAAATTTCAGGACAGGGGCGAGCAACAAAATAGGAATAAATTAGGCAACACTTCGTTGAATAACTATCGCACAAAACTCTGTATAAACTATAAGAACGGTTACTGCCCGTACGGTGACAGATGTCGATTCATTCATCAGCGTTAGTCGCATTATTTTAATTTCCTAACATTTGCCATGTTGCATCGCATGCTTAGTTATTAAGATGTCTAATATTTTTCGGGTCTTGGCATGGAAAAAACTGAAATTCTGGATTTGGTGGACTCCCGCTTAGTGAGAGAACTAATCGAAAAAGTAGAGTTAGCAAAAATTTTTGAAAAAAAACACAACCAAAATTGGAGGGACAACAAAAATCGGCATATTTTTCCTCTGATAATAGCCCGTAACTTTGATACCCAGGAGGATTTTGATACCCAAACCAGGAGGATTGCTTGGGCGATCTGTGTGGAGCGCCTGATACGGCGAAACATAGAGAGACGCTAAATGTGGCTTGTCCCAGTCCTGTTACTCCAATCGGCCCGCAGCGGTGGTCACTTGAGCCGTATCTTTTCCGGATTGATGTCAATTATTATCAAAAGCGCAACAGCATGCCCTGTCCGGCTTTTCCTCATGCAATCGCTTTAATAATGCTTGCCTCTACTTAAGCTTCGTCGAGTGCCCGAAACAAAACAACGTTCTCGACAAACGCGCCTCCATTTGTGCCTGCAGCGGCTGGTCTCAGCCAGGCGTAAGTGTTTTTTTTTTGTTTCAAAAATATCAATTCTTCGAACTCATTTCCAGTCTTCTGAAATAAGTAATTAGGTTGCAGCCTCCGGGTCAATTTTGGAGGTAGAGATGATGAGATGTGGAAGTAAACAAGAGTAGTGTAGGTAGGGAGTAAGAGCGAGCTAAGACATTTTGTGATGCATTCGGATAAGAATGTGACTGAATGCAGGACCCATCCGGAGCAGCAGCAGCAGCAACAGTCGGCGCCACAGCAGCAGCAGCAACAACAGCAGACCAGTCCGGGGGCGTCCAGCGAAATGGGACCGTCAAATCGCCTGTACAGTTCCACACCGGTATCGTTGCTAGCCAAAGGACAGAACCGTGCCGTGGAACTCAACAACGAGTCACCGTCCACTCCGACAAGTCGACGTGTCTCCTATCGATACGACTTCAATGCTGGATATCGACGTCCGTCCGTAGCCGACGGGCCGCATCTGCTTCCCGCATTTTGATTTGGGCAATGTAGCAGTCAGTTAGAGCGCTGTGCATGTCACAAAATTCTGTGATTAGTTCACATTTCTGGATGTGTCCTTGTGCTTTCTTCAGCTGCTGTCCTGTTAGCTACAAGCACTTCTCCATTTTTGTTTGATAACTTTGTCACCATTGGAATGTGTTTTCGATGATGTGATAGATTGCATAAAGGCTTCGCATGCTTTCACTGCTATTGACTGTCGGCCGCACAACACGCAATAAAAAAGCGCTCCCGCAATCGAGCACACTGACCCTCGAACAGGTCAATCCCAAGCCAGAGCCATCCCATCGTGAGACGAAATAATAAATTATGGCCATTAGAAGGTCGAATCGTAACCTTAAAAGAAGTGAACGGTCCAGAGAAATCAAAATGTGGAACAGTCGAAATTGTGTTCCTCTTAAGACCAGACCACAGGAACTGCAGCACAGCTACCTATATAGTTCATTTCGACTGCTCGGGACGTTTACTCGCTTCACCATAATGTGCCTCCGGGCCGCTGACAGGGCTAGGACGCTAGCTACTTGAGCTATTTCAGACGGAATCTTGGTGCCTCAACATGGTACAGCGCCTCCTCACGTGCGTCAGACGCGGCAGCTGTTTGTCCTCCTCCTCCTCCTCCTCCTCCCCCTCCGTCCCTGCTCGTAATAAAGGTACCGCCGTTGTGTACATAGCAGATGAGGTGGTCGCTATGTTGTTGTACAGTGTCCCCATCTCCCCCCCCCCTTCTCCGCCTTTTTGCCAATTTAATTAGTTGGGATTTGCAGCTCCATTCCGACTGGATGTTGTTTTTTTGCCCCCTCGCGGATTCCGCCCGGCGATCGACCGCTTCTGGCTTCACATGGACCAAGTAAAGCATCACTGCCCATTCGGTGCGGCTCCGTCCCTCCCCTCCCCCCTCCCTTCCCTTCCCCTCGAGGTTGCATACCCTGCTCACTCAGTTCGCGATACCTCACGTGATGCATCTCGTCTTCTGATATGCAACAAGCCTCCCTGCTCCAGATTTGTACAGCAAATAAGTATAAAAGGTGTGGAGGGGAATGAAGGCCCACTGTGCACTCAGTCATCATTTGGTGCGGTTGCTTTGAGGGTATCGTGAGGAACTGGGTGCACCAGCCTAGGTGCACCAGTTGACCTGTGCAGAGCTCATGGTCAGTCGTGCTAAGCCCGAGATGAGGTTCCCGGTCACTGCAGTACTCCAGAGGTCACTGGAGTGCAGCAGTGCGACATCCCGCGAAATAGCGCTAGCAGTTCCCTTCCTCCCCCCCGCTCACCAGTAGTAGTTCCGGATGAGCGCCCGGGACGAATTCGAAAGCGATCGAGGAACCTGCCTAGGTGCATAGGCGATTCCAGGGGAGGGAGGAAGGGAGGGGGAAAGTACCAGTGTTACAACTCTACTCCAAGCTCTTGCACAGTTCCAAGGTGGAAGAGGACTCCTCTCCTCACCACCCGCCGTAACCCCCCAGGACCTCCACCCTCCCCTCTTCCAGGAGTCCCTCCTGGGTCCGCCTTTGCGTAGATGTGTATCAGATTTGGAGGTGGAAAAGAAAA